TTGCGCCTCCTCCAGGCAGCGCGACGCGAGCCACCAATGGTGTGATGGAATTTGTGGCCCTTGCCCAGACCGCGGCTCTTCCTCCCGGCTGACGTCAGCCCACGCATCTCTCTGTGCTTGTGGACGGGCCTGGTGATCCACTGCGTGTCGGGGTTGCGGCGGATGGCCTTGTGGAAGGGATCGATCAGGATCACCTCGAAAAACTTGTAAGTGGAATCTTCACCCACCCAGTAGGAGTTCAAGACTCTCAGAGCCCCACAGTGCCGGCCAGCACGCTCCTAGAGGAGAAAAATCAACGCGAAACGCTGTAAAACCATGGAAGCAGGGACACCCTTCGTGTAAAAGGATACGAATAACCCAAACCTAGTTTTTTCCTAGAATTTTTCATTTGCTCTGAGAAAAACTCTCCTGAAAAGAACCACAGTCTCTGGCAACAAAAACACCTGAAGAAGTGATGTTTAAAAAAATGCCGTATTCGACAAAGGCTGCTGGAATTCTTAGGTGAGACAGGTTTTAAAGAATGTAATGAGGAATGCATTTGGTTGACAAAATAAAGAACTATTCCACGTGCAGAAGAGCCCTGTAAGTAAATGCAGAGTTAAAACTTAAGATCACGAGCCACACTTGAGGCCGCCAAACAACTTTGAAAACTGTGAAAGACCAATCAATCTGAATGTCCAGAGTTACTGAGGAAAAAGGCCTGGAGGACAGAAGCTCATATTGATAGGAAAAAAAGAGGAACAGTTGATGTAACAAGCCTTCAATATGCCTTTCCTATCCTTGGCTGCAGTTGGAAAGAAACAGTCCTTGTTCAAGCAAAGAGAAAATAAGTTGAGTTACAGAACTCCATCTGCCTCTCCTGTCAAGACCTCCCCTTTTCACCCTAGGACATTATCATCATCACTACAGATCCATCCAACCTCTACCTCAAACCTATTACTACAGATGTGCACCAACACCACCAGCTTACAACCTCTTGCATATTTCATGTCTTTTCTTCAAGTCCTTCCATTTCTCTGCACGCGGCAGTGACACATACTAAACATTAAAATAACAATCACCCTCAACTAGCTTCTAGATGACAGGGATGACAGTGACAATCAAGGTTTGGAATTTCTAGAACATCTTTATCTGAAGAACAGAAGCCTTCCAGGAGAAAACAAGCCAGATTCACAACATTTTGGACTTAATAAGAGGGCCAACAACCTCTTTTCATGAGCTGTCACCAGAAGCAAGCAGTTATATGGTATTCCCGAATGTCTGATACGAGCACCATGAGCACTCAAAACAAAGCTTTTAAATTTAAACTCATCACTTTTGTTAAAAAATAAAAAGTAAATGGAACAAAGAAACAAAACCATAACCACCCTGTAAACAACTTCCTGCTGAAATAGGAATGCTTTTTTAGTACTGGGAAAAGTCATCTGCTTAAAGATGTACAAGAATGGAGACTGCTCACTGCCTTTACAATGCCTCTTCTGGGGAGTGCTGGTCAGTACTGCTCTAAGTCTTGCAGCTTGTTTTTTTTCCATACGTGAGAAGAACAACTGCAGCATTATGAAATATAACAAAGTTCTCCTGGATGGAAAGTCTCAATTTTCAGCATTTTAGCAGGTAACAGCATTGTTTAACTATTTAAACTACCAATCTTCAAGCTTACGAGCCAGAGATACTTTTAACTTCAACATGCCTCTGGCATGCTGTTTTCAGAGAGTATGATACAGCTAAGTACACTGCACAGCACTCCTACTATACAAACAGGTGCTGCAGTCTTTAAGGCAGGAATTTACTTGTGTTTTGTGAAAGGACCACTGTCTAAATCTGCTAATACATACAACATGGTAGGGAACATAAAGGCAGGATTTAGCAGTGACTGCAGTCACACAGTTCAGCATATTTGAATTTCAGTTTCTCATACCCAGCTCTTTGTTTTTCAGGCCTTTGTCAGTTGTATGTCTTTCATTACAAGTATTGCAGCGTGCTTCTGAAAGAAGCATATTCCAGAAACTTCAACAAACCATCTTAGTGGTTCTTTCCACATCCCCACATGCAGAGTGTGAATAGGTTTCACTCTTTTGTCTCAAAACAGCTTTTCAAGACACTCTGGTGCTCTCCTGCCATCAATACTCAAGATCTTTTACCTAATACATTACAGAACAGTTACTGGTTTGGTCACAAAGCCTTTTCCACTTTTACAGACTAGGTGCAACCCCAATTATCTGAGCAATAACCAAAACAGTCACCTCTGCTACAGACTGAAGACTGCGGGCGAACTTGAGCTGGTTGACACCGTGATGCACAGGCTTCCCATAGGTTGCACCTTTTGGGACTGGGCGCTTCCGACCACCACGACGAACACGGACACGGTAGATAACATAACCTAGAAGAAATGGCCATTTAGTGTACAAGCACACCTTATGGTAAGGCAATTCACATACTGCATTGCCAACCCCAAAGGCTTTGCATGGAATGCTGCAATAAAGCAGGTCTTTACACTTGTCCCCACTGAAACCTACAACTCTTAAGTCTAGCACAGAGCATTTGTGTTACCTCCATTATAACTGAACAGAGTGGTGTACAGTTGTTGGGACTTTTTCAGTTCCGAAACAGACTTTAGAGAACCTTTTCATTATGCATTTCCATATAAACTAAGACTGGTGCCACAACTCACAAAAAATCCACCCCCACCCCAAAAGGCAATAAAAGAACCCCAAAACTAAAGGGCCATGCAGAAAAAGCACCATTCAAAAAGCACTGAAGCTCAAGTTACGCATAAACTCCACTGAAACATGAGGAAATGAAGCAAACCTCACAAATAGGAACAGAAATTTATACTCTTTACTTTCACATCATGACAGAGAACAAACATGGTGACTTGCTTCAAGGATTTCCTGAAGTTACACACAGATGTCCACTTTCCCTCAGTTAGTTTGTTTTTCTGACCAGTAACTGTTTCCTAATGATCATAGAAATTAAGTAACTTTATCCTCACTCAAGTACAGACAGATATCAAGTAACTTGAGAAAAAGTCTGGCCTGAGGAAGAAACCTCCTTGCTCCAAACCTACCTACTAAAAACACTGGTCAGTGCTACCATAAGGCAGCACAAGGAGAATTACAGCCTGAATGCACTCAATCTTCATCTGCCCAATTGGTCACAGGGGACATTAACTCAAATTACACAAAATACAGTTTTGGGCTGTGGGCACTGCTACGAACTGAACATATTTGTAAGTTTATTTAATTCAGGACACTTCAGGCTTTTCCAGGACATTCAAGTTTCTCACTTTGTCATTCTACTACCAGTCATAGAAGGAAGCAAGTTGACAAAACCATGGTCACTGCATCACCAGGCATTCTTCACCTCCTTGTCTCATTACCTTGCTTGGCCTTATATCCCAGCCTGCGAGCTTTGTCTGGCCTGGTTGGCCGGGGAGCGCGATGCAAAGCAGACAGCTGGCGGTACTGCCAGCAGCGCACACGAAGGAGGAAACGCATCACATCTGACTGCTTTTTCCTCCATAGCTCCTGGATGTACTTGTAGGCACCCATGTCTGGTTACCTGCTGAGAGAAGAGATCAGTGAAGGCAGCAAATCTGGCTCCAGAACTGCACAGCTTCCAATAAAAAGATACTGCACTAAACCATACATACAAGATCAAAGGTACGTAAAGTGCTTTCATGCTTTTTTGAATCACTGGTGCACTCGGTAATATGGCTCACATTTAGCAGCCTACAATGAGACACACAGCCATTACCACTGTCAGCAATTCTCATCCATTCCACAGAACACTCTGGGTTGGAAGGAACCCTAAAGCCCACCCAGTTCCAACCTCACTGCTGTGGGCAGGGCTGCCAGCCACCAGTTCAGCCTGCAGAGAGCTCCATGCAACCTGGCCTCAAACACCTCCAAGGATAAGGCATCCACAGCTATGCCAGGGCCTCACCACTCTGAGTGAAAAATTTCCTATTTCATTTTCTTAACGTTTGTGAAGAATGCATAAATTGTTTTCTAGCACTCCTCATCCATGGAGCTACTGTTTCGTGATTTGCAAACATTATTAAAATGGAGAGTTAGCACCTGACTTGCTTTAAAAGTTGCTCTTTAAAGAGGTATGTGACTGTGAGTGGCCTAGTTTTTACTATAAACATGGTTTAAGCACCTCTAGGACCTGCTTAACTCTCACACACCTGGAGAGCTCAGATTCCAGCAGATGTAAGTCAACACCATCATGCCACCACTCCAAACACAATTAAAAGCAATCAAACAAAAAGTTCCCCGTGCGAAAAGCACCCCACGCTCTTCTCTGTGAATCAGCCCAGCCGCAGCCGACCTCCCCCCACACCATGTCAGGTCCGCATCACGGCACGACCATCGCAATACCGCACGCCAGGCGCCTAACCCAGGCACGCGGCCGCCCGCCCTCGCAGCCCCTCCCGTCCGGCCGCTCCCGGCCCTCAGCCCGCGATCAAGCCGCACGGCGAGGCGCGGCCCACGGGCCCCGCACCATCTCGCCGGGCTCTGCCGCTCGCCCGCCCGCCGAAGCGGCCACATCCCACCCCGCCAGAGCCGCACCGCGCAGGGCCGGCAGCGAGGCAGGCGAGCGGCCGGCAGGGAACGGGGATGGGAGCGGATGGAAGGCCAGCCGAGCACTGACGTACCCGAACCTGATGGCGCCCGACGCCGGAAAGGAAGAGGCCCGCCTCCCACACCCCCTTGCGGCGGCACCGCGCTTCCGGCGGCGGCCCCGGCGCCTCACGGGTAACGTAGTCCCGTAGGGGGAGCGCAGCCGCTCGCCTCCGCCGCCCGGCGGCCCCGCCCCTCCGCGGGCCCGCGACAGGCAATCAGCTGCAGGGGGCGTGTCCAGGGGCGGCTCAATGGGGCGGCGTGGGACGCTGAGCCCAGGTGCGCGGTCGCGCGGGGGCGGGGGGCGGTCGGGGCCGGGGGCGCGCGGCGGGCACGGCTTGGGGCGGGGGGTCGGGGCACGGGCAGCGCCTGGAGCACCCCGTGAGAGGCCCGAACCTGCCGGTTTAGGCCGTACAAAAGCGGTTAAAAATAAATCCTAAAAAGAAGGCGTGAGGGTTCCTAAAAATAAAAATGACAAATCCTAAAAGAAAACTTCCTAAGGGAAAATCTTGTCGGCGCCTCAGTCCCTGTCCCGAGCCGCTGGCCTTCCGCTGCGTGCGTCTGCACCGAGCCTGCTGCAGAGCAGCGCTGTGCCTCGTGCTGCGGGCTCTGCTGTCCCCGTCCCGGGGCGGCAGCGTTCCTGAGTGGACTCGGGGCTCACTGAGGAGTATAGCGAGAGCTGGGCCTTCCCTGCCCACAGCCAGCCCCTTGCGACCGTAAATGTGCCCAGCGGGGCCTGTGCCCGTCAATTCCTAGTGTCACACTGTGTCACATTGGCCCGGCAAGAGCCCACCGGCTTCTGCAGGCTACCCGCTGCGATCAGCCCCGCTCACAGCCTCACACAGACCCCGAAGCCTCAGCGCTGCCCTGTGCTTCTGACCGCAGTGCTTCCCAGTTCTGTCTGTGCAGGCCAGAAGTGCCGTGCGTGTCCCGCTCGTGTCCCTGCCGCTGCAGGCCCCGTCGCACGGCTGCATTTGGACAGCGCTCGCCACCCGCCGGCCTGAGGACGATGGGGAAGGGCTACAAGGTGGTGGTCTGCGGAATGGCGTCTGTGGGGAAAACTGCGATTTTGGAGCAGCTTCTCTATGGAAAGCACACTGTCGGTGAGGTGGTTTTGTCTTTTGTGTGTGTGTGGATCGTTTCCTTGGGCAGAACGTTGTGTGCGGACACAAAGGTGGTGACTCAGGGACACTCACTGTGCCGAGGGAGGACAAGAGCATGGCCTGGGTTTATCTGGGCTCATCTCAAGGCCTTCTCTGGGACTCGTGGGCACTAACACCTTCCAGAAGTGGTTTGGAAGAGCCCTTCTGTGGTGTTCCTGGTTCCAAACTACAGGAATGCTTAAAAAGAAACAAATACAAAAACAGATGCTTTGCTCACTGCCCATTTACATGAGGAGTATGCAAACAAGAAATATGTTGTTCCCTGAAAGATCAGAATCATAGAACCATAGATGCTTTTGGTGCCTGAAAGGTAAGTAGATATGATATTATAAATAGAGAGACTGCTTAGACTTCTGTCATGCCTTCTTAGAACTTTCCTTGGTTTGGTTTTGGCTCATGGTTCATCAAAGTGCTGGAAAAGAAAGCAGCTCTGCTTTAGGTCCCTCTCTGGGCTCCAAGGGCTGTGCAGGATGAGCATGGAACCACCCGCCCAGGTATCAGATGAAGGGCAGCAAATGGTGTCTGCAGGGGGGGGATCTCAGAGCTTTGACAGAGGGCATCCAGTGTCTGTTCTGTAGGCTGGTACATTCAGTGCTGGGGTGAGATGTTGGATAAATATTAGGATTTCTAGCTGGCTGCTTGGCAGGCACTGTGCCTCTAAAATGCATTGATGAGAGGAATTTGCTTGCAAATCATGATGCTGAGCTGTATGCAAATACCCTTGTTTCAAAGGAGGATTTCCCCTAATGTTGCAGCAACACCTGCTTCCAGCATCCTACCAGCATCCTGCACAGCCCCCTGTAGCTCTCAGCACGAGCTCCAATGCCTGCAGGCTGTGAATTTTGCCTTGGCCCGTCCCTCACCTGCCCTACCAGGTGACCCTCAGTGCTGTGCTATCCCTGCTGCCCTCCGCTGCTCCCCGTGCTGAGCCCCAGGAGCTATTTCTGGCTGCTCCTGAGCGTGGCTGTGGTGGCATTGCGTAATGGCAAGATGCTCACTGACATAACAGGGAAAGCCGCGTGCGTGTCCCCGATCACTCCCTGATGCTCTGCCAGGCTTAGCACCGAGCGGCACAGACCTTCCCCTCCTCTCCCAGGAGGTTTGCTTTCTTTCTATCATTGCTTTCCAGGGTTAATAGCCAGCCACAAGCCTGTCAGTGCCAGCAAGCCTGCTGCTGGCTTGCCTTCACAAAGGAGTGGTGGCACAGCTGCTGCAGGAAGTGATTAGTGTCCTCCGAGGCTTCACGCTGCTATACTGAGCCTTGGCTTTGAGCCCCTGCTCCTGGCTGTGAGTTGAGAATGCTGCTGAAGGCCCAGCAGCAATGCAGGGCTTTTCCTAGGACAATTTGCTCTTTTGGTTTGCTCCCCGGCTTGTCATGGATGAAGTCCCTTCATGGTCAGCAGCTAGCCCTCCTGCAATTCGTAAAATTGTTAGTGAGTGTCCAGAGCAGGGCTGCAGAGATGGGGAAGGGTCAGGAAGATGAGATGTTTGAGGAGTGGCTGAGCTCCCTGGATTTGCTCAGCCCAGAGCAGAGGAGCTGAGAGGAGGCCACATGGCAGCTGCAGCTTCTCAGAGGGAGTGGAGGAGCAGAGCTGAGTTCTGCTCTCTGTAACAGAGACAGGGCCTGAGAGAATGGCATGGAGCTGTGTCAGGGAGGGGCAGGTTGGTATCAGGAAAAGGATGAGGCGAGTCCTTGACTGGCAAAGGAAGCTGCTCCCACCTAACATCAGTAGTAGCCGGCACTGTGTGCCCCAAGGGAAGTTACTGGCACAGTTCAGGCACACAGTGTGCAAAGAAGGAAAGTGCTTTTCCTTCAGTAGCGCCTCTGCTCAGTGAGGGCTTAGAAAGTAGTATCCTGCCTTGGGAATGCCTCTGGTACCTCTACCTGTGGGAAGCTGATCAGCTAAAGGGAAGGAGATGAAAACTCTTCCAATAGAAAACACTGTTTTCCTTATCTCTGCCTCCTGACTGCACAAATAGCTGTATGGCCAGGTTGCTTATGACCAGCTGCTTCAAGTCATCTAGCTAGCTGGGAATGAAAACTGTATGTATGAATGAAAACTCGCTAGAACCCACAGTCAGAGAATTTGCCTTGTCAGGTCTCAACTTGGGGGACCTGGGGTTTTGGCTGAAAGACTTTCACAGCTCAAAGGTTTGGGACTCATAAACCGAATGAAGCATTCACAGACCTTTGTTTCTTAAATAAATAGAACTGGAGTTAGCTTTGGTTTTTAGAAGTGCATGAAAATGAAGCCAAGCTTATGTAACAGAAGGTCACACTCATAGCTCTGATTGATGGGACCAGCACCTAACTAGCAGCTAAATCCAGACATGTCAGCTCCTGTTGGTCCAGCTCCAAAGAGCTGTCCAGCTCTTCTCTGAGTCGTGTATTTCCTCATCTTTAGCCTGGTTTCCAAAGAAACCATGAAATTGATTGCTGTAATGCTAGTTCCCCTTTCCCCTGTGGCTTCCAAACCTGAAAGCTGGTTCCATCTGTCCATTCATCTGCATCACAACAGTGGATACTTCCAAATCTGTTCCTGTACGTTAGGAAAACGGTGGCAGGAGTGAGAGCAAAGCCACCCGTGCTGTGGCAGCCTGTGAGCAGCAGGTCTGGTGGAGCTGCCTTCGCCCCTGGCAGAGGAGCAGGACAGCGGGGGACACCCGTGAAGTCAGCAGCATGGCAGGGGAGGTGGTGGTGCCAGGCACTGGGCTTCCCTCATCCGTTCTGCTGCTCGTACAACAGCTTGCCCAGCACATGTCTGAATGGAGGTCAGGAAAGTGTTGGGATGGGATGTGCTAACCGGATAGCAGTGTCAGCAGCATTTGGCTAACGCACAGACTGGGCTTTAGAAGTAAAGCCTAGAACAGTGACACGGGTATGACTGAAAACTGCTTGTTGAGTAACCCACTTGCAGTGCTTCCTCCCCCTGCGTGTGCAGGTGAAATTTCACCTCTGGAAACTGATCCTGATGCACAAATTCCAGGTCCTTCCAAAGTGTCCCATCCCCCACTCTGCCATTTAACATCAAAATTTGTTGCTCCGTTCTGCTGACTTGCCTCACAGATCTTAATTTTTCCTCTTCGTTTTCAAGGAGGATGTTAAAAGACGTAATTTCCACTGCTACTTTTAATGCCATTAGGAAGTGACTGTCACAGGAGAATGCAGATATATTAAAGACTGCTAAATTACAGTGCAGCATTTAGGTGATAAAAACCTGCCCAACATTATTCATGGCTTTCTAAAAAGAAAATGCAGGTACTTATGGTTCATTCCTTCTTGCCAAAACGATATTTACTGATGCTAGATTCTTCCTTGACCTGTCTGTACAATGAGATGAAGCAGAGCAAGACAAAATAGTGCTATATCCAGAAGACCTACTTTCGTCTTTAAAAATGCCCTTGTAACACATTCTCCAGCTTGCACAGAGTGTGTTCACCCTTTCTGTTTTTATTAACCTTTGTTTTGCTCTGCTCTTAGTTGTGCTCTTGCATGCTAGCATGGCTATATTTGGAAGCAAAATAAATTAATTGGTTGCAAACTAAAATGAGTTTTGATCTATGCAGGCTGCACAAAGAGGGGCAAAGAGAACAGCTTGTGCCACTTTCCTGCTCAGGAATGCTGCATATATCATGGGAAACCGTGCGCGTGGGTGGAATTCTTTAGCTTGTTTGTCAATGCAAAGTATTTTGAATACTGTCACTGAATATAGCAAAATCCTTATTTTCACAGGCCAGATAATCCCTCGTGTTTTCTTAAACAATGCACTAATATGGTCCCCTTTTGGCAGACAAAGGGAACAATGCGGTACTCGTTAACTGTAGCCCTGCACCAGCGAACAGTCCCTGTGTATAGGAATGCAGTGGAGGCAGAAACATGCAGAGGTTTATGAGAATTCTTCAAACTAACCCTGAAAGTAGCCCAGCTGCAGTATGCAGTTTGTTGGGACCTGCAGCCATATGGACGTGCACCCAGGGTGATCACGAAGCTAAGGAGATCCATGTGTTTTCAGGGTCTGGCTTCGAAAGTAAGGTTTAATTAATTCAGAGCAAGGTACCTCATATTACCTCCCATTTACCATGGGAAGGGGAAGGAAGGAGAGCTGGTATGCAGATTGTTACCATGGAGCACATGATATATATGGGAGCTTGATACCTTGTGCATGCTCTTACCCTGCAGTAAATGAGCTCGCTCCTATTAGCAAATCTGAGTCATGTTAAATCCCTAAGGGATGGAAAAAGCTCACTGTGCATTTGGGTAAATATAGCATGCAACTTTGCTTGCATGCAAACATCCTCTCCCCTGTTGGGCTTGGTTTCACTTGTTGGTTAGTTGTACCAACGCATGTTCATTTCCAGAACTGTTCCTTTGGCTCCTGCTTCTGCAGTACAATCCAGCCCAGCACGAAGCTGAGAAGCAGGCTCAAGATGTCAGTACTTGCCTCTCTGGTGTTCCTTGGCTGTTTTTCCCTAAGGGTATGTTTGGGCAGGCCCATTTGCAGCGTGTTTGGCAGAGAGCTGGTACACTGGGTGGTTGGAGTTTGGGAAACCTGAGGGAAGAGCCATATATCTTATCACATCCTGTGCTTACATGTCGTATAGATTAATTTTACAGGCTCGTATATTAGACGGTTGTATTTATATAGTGTCACTACCGTAAAGAGCTGGCATGGTGATCTATGGATACAACCCTTGCATGACAGTTGAGGTTGAATCCAGGTCAGATCACCTTGGAAAAATATGAGCTGAAAGCTATTGCAGGGTAAAGTTCTGCCACACCACAAGCATTTATTATGGTGGTGCTGTACTTACACCAGCTGACCCTTCCTGCTTGTTTTAAGACAGGTTTAGAAGAGGGTGCCACAATGGAAGATGTGTACTTGGCATCGGTGGAGACGGACCGAGGTGTGAAGGAGCAGCTGCGGCTGTATGACACCAGGGGTCTGCAGGAGGGCGTAGAGCTGCCCAAGCACTACTTCTCTGTTGCTGATGGCTTCATCCTCGTGTATGCCATCACCAGCCTCGAAGCCTTCCAGAGAGTTGAACAGCTCAAAAAAGAGATTGATATCTTCAGAGACAAAAAGGAGGTAAATGCGTGGTGCCCTAGCTGCTTGGCTTATTGGCATATCAGTGATAGGAAGTTAATGTTACAAAGCATAAGGTTGGGCTCTGTAAAACTTGCATAGAAAGGAAAACAAGTGTACCCACAGCCTTGGGCAATCCAGCCAAAGGGAGCTTTCTCCTGATGGGGAAGCCTCATTCACATGCTGTGCAGCTCAAACAAGTAAAGTGTTGTTGTTTTTTTTTTCTTACTTCCTCTACCACAGCTAAAATCCAGTTAGCTGAATGCATCAGTTTGGACACTTATGAGTAATAAACCATATGGTCTACAGCAGTGCAGTTCTTATTTTTTTTTTCTTAGGTATTGCACACGGGAAGTCAAGTGCACAGAATAATGTAACGAAGAACATTATTTTTGTTTGTTTTGTATTCACATACCTGATGGCTTACAAACTAGTGTAACTGACAGTGGGTCTCCCAGACATTAGTCAATTGGCAAAGCAGCTTTAATGTATCTTAACAACCATATTGAATCAATTCAATTGTGTGAAATGACTGCTCTATTTTCCCTTAGAAAGCAGCTAGTGTTTTCAGCTGACAGTGTTCCTGCTTAGCTAAACAAATATAACTTGCATGTGGCATTAGCATTATGGCTTTTCTTACAGTATCTTTGTGTTCTCCAGTAGCTTTCCCTGCTAAATGTCTTTAGCCTACAGCTCTCCAAATGTCTATTTTATGCTGTTTAGAAAAAGAAAAAAGTGCATGAAGAATTAATTGGGTAATGGCAGGGAGAGACTTTCCAAAGAGTAACTTGGGCAGTATTTGCAGAAGTACTGCAGGAAGGCAGGCTCAGAGCTTGATGGCAGTCAGAAATGGAGGCAGAGAGGTATGTTGGCTGGCATGAGCTGCATGCTGTCAGGGTACAGATGTCAGGAGTATGGCAGTTGGCCACAGCCAACATGTGACAAGCAGGACATTCACTCAGACACTGTGTTTCTTGAGGGTGACGCAATTGAAAAATAGTGGTGCCCACAGCAGGCTGGATAAATCAGTTTTATTCCTCTGATTTCTACTGCGTACAAAATAGTCTCTGAAGGTGAGATCAAGAGTCCTTAAAAAAGCACCAGCAGCCTTTAAGTCTCTGCAGCCATAACCAGATTCAGGATTCATCTCCATCTGTGGTGCCTCTGAGCTGGCAAGCCTTTGCTCCGCCAAGCAGCACAGCCCTGTACCACGCAGCCAGAGCTGTAAAGCACAGGTGGCAGCCTCCTGCCTCTCCTCAGCATGCTCCTCAAAGTGTGGCCTATTTTTGTACTGAATGGAGATTGTCTTCTCTCATACTGGCAGAGTTTGACCATAGGCAAAATTCAGTTGGTAAAAGTACTGGAAAATGATAGCTTCTTACAAAGGGGTGAACGCCTACTCAAACAGCATGGGCTGCTGTAGAAAGGAAAGGGAGCCTCAGAGCTCGCAAGAACAGGACATACATCTCTAGCTAGAGAGAAACAGGAGACATCCCAGGGGCAGCCTGATGAGCAGGAAAGGGCTAGCGGGCGTTGCCATGGCCAAAAGCCCAGTTGTGGGGAGAGGACTTCATTATTTTAGGTTTGTCAAACCACCATGCAGTGCAGAGATGAGACCAGAGTTCAAGTAAGGACCTTGCACTATAAATACAGGCATGATTTCCCCCATTGGCTGATGCTGTTAAAACATTTTTAGAAAGTGGTTAAGTTAAATCAAGCAGGAACGGTAGCTTTAAGGGACTACATTCAGTGCTGGCTGAAGGAGAGGCAGCAGGCAGCCCCCAGGCCTGTCTACACCTGCTGCCTGGGATGCAAACAGGCTGGGCAAAACCCTTGTATCCACACCTTCCGTGCTGCCATAAACCATTTCTCAAGCATCCATGGCTCTGACTGACTCAAATGCCACACTCTCTAGGGTTACTTCTTACTTCGGTAAGTACTTACTTACTTGAGTAACTCTAGAGTTACTTCTTACTTCTCTAGGGCAGCTCAATTGCAAAGTAAATGGAGAATAGGACTGTTTAACTTCTGCTCTTTTGGGTATGGCTTCCCTTTAAGCAGCCTGTAGGCTAAGTCTTGCATATCTTATGATTAAAGCAACTCCCAGGCCGCAACTAGACAAGGCAGGTTTGAACCCCAGACCCTACGCTTCCAAATCGTATGCAATTTGAGCCAGTGCTAAGCTGAAGAACAGGCCTGAATTGTGTTACTGATGTCTGCTGTTTGTTTACAGGCACTGTGAACAGTGGATGCTCTTTGCACAAAGCTCACCCGTTCGTTTCATTTGTAGGTAACAGTTATCATACTGGGAAATAAAACGGACCTCCTGGAGCAACGACAAGTGGAAACAGAAGCAGCACAGCAATGGGCAAGGGCTGAGAAAGTGAGACTGTGGGAAGTGACTGTGACAGATCGGAAAACACTGCTTGAGCCATTCACCTTCCTAGCGAGCAAACTCTCCCAGTCCCAGAACAAATCAACATTTCCCTTGCCTGGAAGGAAGAGCAAAGGGAATAACTGCGATAACTAAGCTCCCTTTAATGCTGTCTGCCGTAGCCAGGTGCAGCCTAAATCCTTTCTATGCCTTTTGCTTCACGCGGTTTCACTTAAAGCAATAATCTCATTCAGCAATAAATCAGCAAGCTTATGGCTAAGAGGTATTTTTCCTTCTTGTGGACTTGGCTTGAAAAAGTCACTGGTGGTGAAGCCTTAAAAAGCACTTAATGTTGGCAGTTACCTTGCAATAAGGCTGAGGAGGGGAGAACAGGGTGGGAAAGAGGCATGGGCTTACCTCTTCTGCAGGGGCTTAGACTGTCCCTGGGTACCCAGAGAGGGAAACTATCCTTCAGATCTATGGCACTTGTTCGCACACAGAACTACCTGTAGTGAAGATATAAATGTGGAGAGAGAATATGTCTGAAACAGCAGCAGTCCTTTGACCTTAAGCAGGGAGCCCCTTGGCCACAGGGTTTTGGATACTGCAGGGGGCTCGGGGTCAGGGTGCTGTTGCAGAAGTGTTGGGGCATGAGGAGTAAATGCAAACAGATTTACATGCCAGAGCTCTGTTAGTGTCTGAAAATAAGTGAAGAGGGAAACAATGTCTCGTGGGAGATCCTAGATCAGATCTACCCTAACATGAAGCTTGTCAGCAAAGTCTGGCAAGTAGTGCCTTCAGCTCAGGAATTTATTTGTACAAACCAGAAAAGCTCTCACAGCACTCATTAATTTAACTGTGACCTGATGGACAACATAGCAGTATGAAGTTTTGTTCCAGCATGTCCAGTGCAAATCAGTCACACTGACATAGGTGCTAATTTTGTTCAGAAATGGTATGGAACAACTTGGTAAGCAGGAGGTACCTCACCAGGCTCTGCTCAGTGCCTTGTGAAAGTTTCCTGCCCAGCTAGAGAGTGAAGCCACAGCAACCCACAGCCTGAACAAGGCTGCAGGCTGGAGTACAGCCAGTACAAAGTGCTGCACTGCTTAGTGAGAGGGGCTGAGGAGTGAAGGTTGCTGCCTGTTGGGAACAACCTCACAGCAAACGCACAGAAATCCCTGTACAAATGGCCTCGGTCTTAAAGAGGAGCACAGCTTTATGTGCTGGATTTGACGCTCTGCATTGGTAAACCTGTTCCAGGTCAGTCTGTTAGCAAACCAAATAAAACTGATTATAAAGGGACAATGGAGTGGCTGTTCCCAAAGTGAGGGGCCAGCTTTTGGCCTCTAAAACCTTAATACACTGATAGCAGCTTTTCTTTGAATTTGAAGGCAGGAGCAGGGAAAGAGAGCAAACTGAAGTACCCAGTTCTTTAATTTACCATGAGATTGTTGCTTTGAGCAAATATTGAGAATTTCATTGTGAGTCAGCAAAACCATGAGCAATATTTGCACTTCATATTATAACTGCTAAATAGTGTGCTTAATGATCACAATTAGGCTGTGTGCTTACAGCATTGCTCTTCCTGAATCCTGGCAAATAAACTGTCAGCATTGCTAATGCCAGAGCAACAGTACAATCCACTGAAAATTAAGCAAGTATTCCTACTTTCATAATGAAGTTAGACGAAACTGTTTATGTGCTTTGCTCAATACAGTTTGGATTGCCGTGGCCACCAAGTCAGATAAGAGAGCAATTACGAATGAGCAAGCCCCTGTAATGCCCTGCTAGAAACATACAATTGCCTCCATTGCAACACTGCAGCTGAGTAAGCACTACAGCACGACCTCCCCCAGCCTGGCCACTAATAGTCATCATCCCCAGCGATGCTGCAGAACAACACTCCCTCCTCACTCATTTCCTACAATACACGTGTACTCATGGTTCTCCCCACCCAGAAGACTGCATGCACAGAATCTGCCTGTGCACTTGGGAAGCGGGGTTGTTCAGAGCAGCTGTGGTTTACCTATTTGCTGCAGCTTTTCATTGAGGAATTGGATACGTCCTGCTCTTCAGCTCTGCAGAACCTTTTACCAGGGAAGGACTTAATTCAGCTATGTATCAGTCAAAATACAGAACACCTCTGCTAACTACATACTGTTACTAAGGCTGATCCCTGAGCAAAGGGAGTGTGGGCCAACAAGTGAAACCAGTCGAAATTAGCTTAAATTGTGGAGATGGAAGGAATGGAGATGACCAGCTCCTGACCAGTTCTGCTGGGACAGACGTCACCTGTGGTCTGTAGGGGCTGGGTCACACAAGGCTGGCTTGCTCACTCACCCCCTTGACACTCAGGACTCGGCAATGCTTTAAGAATGGCAGAGGAAAAGGGAACTTTTAAGTGACTAACATTATGTTTCCAAACAGGTTACATAAAGTCTAACATGTTATCTTTGATTTAGTAAAACTCATTTCCAGATCATTTTGGGCATCCGCATAAACAACCACCACCCATTATTTTATTTAATAGGCTTAGCCTGATGCTTTCTAAGCACTCAACTGCCTTTTCTAAACAGCACAGTATTTTATTGGCCAGCAATAGAAATGGTAGTTTCTCCTCTGCAAACAATCTGCACTCAGTGGCTGGTGAAACTGTAGTGCAGTTTTACCTTCTGTTAATAAGTAAAGTACATCCGTACAGGGTATAAAGTAGTAGTGCTAGGGCAGGAAATGTATTTTGCCCTTTGTTGTTTCACTGATTCAAAGTTTGCCCTAGGTCACAAGGATCACGTATGTACTACAATGCCAGACAGTCCCTTCACAAAATGACAATTAAAAAAAAAAAAAGAAAAAGAAATAGGCAAATTGAAGCTCCTTTCTTCATTTGTTACACTTCTATCCACCCTAATTTAGCTTCCCCTCCACTGCCAACTGCAAGAATTAATTTGGCACGTACTGGTAGCACAAAGCAAGGAACAGACAAAAATCTACAGAAGTCACTTACATCCTCACACAGAGAAGGGGAGGAATGAATGAATTTAAGGGTCCCTTACCAGAGATGCTCCTGGTGTGATGTAGCTATATACCAGTGATTTTTCTAGGCTGAGCTGAACAGCTGTGGGAACCCACGCACCAGGACATATATTCTGTTGAAAGAAGACAGTTTAACAGATGAGGCTAACATCTTCTAGTACCTACAACTACCCAGCAAAGGAGAGGTGCCTGTACATAAACTCCTTGGGACCAAATTAGATTTGATCTTTAAATAGATAGGAAGCATATAAAACAAACGTATGTGGAATGTAAAGTACAAAAATAAATCCATGAGAACAGACGAACACATCACACTCAGAAGAATGTTGCAACGTGATGCACTTGTCATGTGAAAAAGAATCTGTGCTTCCGGCCTTTACCTTGAGGGAGTGGTCAAAAATGCCACGTTCAAACCTAACTACCCTGTTGCCACACTCTTCAATGTACACACTATATCTCTGGGAGATAATCTTTCGAGCTAGTTAAAGGATCTACAGGCTAAGCCTCCTTTATGGTGTCTTCGTCTGGCTTCCCAGGACACTACTCCTTCTCCTCTTTCACGTGGAAATTGATGATTCCATCAGAAAGCCACGAGAACATTCTCTTCTTCCTCCTTCCTTCTGCCCATTTCTCTTTCTACTGTACTTTTGCTCTTCCTATCATACTTCCGTATAATGCAACACTCCTGAAAAGACAATGCTGTGAAAACTTGAGCTGAAGACTAACCAGGGGCTCTAGGAGCCTGGGTAACACCTACACAACGAATGTGTTGTCATTCACCGTACGCTTGTCTAGAAGCATCTTCCCAAAACAGAAGCAGATGGTGCACTCACCTGCACAGCTCGCTTGTCTTTATACGGAATGCAAGCCTTCAAGTGCACTGGGAGACACTGTTCTGGCAAAGTGATAAAGCAAGGCACTAACACTAAGCAGAAGTCTCTTCTTTTTTTTTTTTTTTTTTTTTTTTTTTTTTTTTTTTAAACATCTTTTTATTAGCACAGTAACAAATGCAGACTTAAGTAGCCCACAACATACAACCAATCCACCGAGTGACTCCTATTCCACGCCTTACAATTAAACAGCTTAAGGTATTTCACTACAAGTTGTCATTAGTCCTGATTAAAACTTTTATTCTTCTCACAAAGATAGATTGGCTTATAAAATAATACATTAGCTACTTCTCATTTCATATATGAGGCCATATATCCCCCTCTCCGTATCACAGACCATGAGATGACAGTCTTTAAAAAGCATTTGTTAAATACCAATGCGCCCTCTATAGGGGAAAACAATCCCAACATCTTTTTTACAAAAAACAAAAACAAAGCAAAACAAATGAACAAACCAAACCCTCCCAAACCAAAAACAAAACAAAAAGCAAAAAACAGTGTGTAGAGTCTTGAAAGGACTTTTACATAAACGCCAACATAAGTACCTGTACAAAATTAAGCTGTTTTATCTTTTACATAATGCAAGCAAACTGAAAACCAAAGAAACCTAAGTTTACATTCTTCTCGGTACTATATGTGAGCTAATATTGCCAAACTAATTACAGTCTTAAAATATGCTATTCCCAATTCTAGCTGTCTACTGTAGCAAGATACCTTAAGTTACAACAACAAAATCTTAGGAAATAAAAGACTGAATAAAATCTGTTATAGAAATACCCTACTCTTTACCAGCACCCTCCCTCCCCCCCACCCCTTCAAAATCATAAGCAGCTCTTTCCATCACAGACAAATAATGTAAATCTGACAGAAACGCAATTTATGTAGCATATCTTTTGGTCCATTGTCTGGCCATTCTGTCATGCTCTGCTCTGTTAGTCATATACTGAGTGGCAATGCTTCCAACCAGGGGGTCAGCTGAAAAGGAAAGAAAAGAAAGACTTATTTCGAATTTAATGCAAGGGAATAAAGACAAGTACATCACAACAATATAAATATACTGAACTGATTGTATCTTCATCAGTTTGTGTTTATTTATGGTAACGTAGAGATCTATTGCTTGATAAAGTGGGAAATACTGACCGAAATATTAAGGAGTTTAAAAGACAACAGTCCAATAGTCACCTAACAGTTATATCTCGCATTCCTGAAAACTTTCACTAATTCACGTGTTTATTTTACCTTTTCTAAAATTGCCTGAGATGTACTCATTGCTAAGTGTACTTGTATTGACATAAATCTGGCCTATAGGAAAGATCAGATTGTGGGGAGAGGTTTTGTAGAAATAAAACAACTA